TTTTGTTCGCGAGCCAAAATTAAAGGTTGCAAGTCATTGGCGGGCCGCACATATTTTTAGAACGTTAAAAACTGAGGAAATGGCCAATGAATCACATTTTTTACACAGATTTCAGTTAAATTTCAAGCAGCGCGCAAAGGCTGTTTATTTGAATATTTTCTGCGCCATTAAACCATTTGCACTCAGCATCAATTTTTTTACGTTCTGTTGTCATTTGTCTAATTATAATCAATGGATCATTAAACGAGTGATCGTGAATTGTATACTTGTTAGGTTATAATATAATTTAGTTTTTCAAAACAAATTCTGTTACGTAAAGAATATAATCGCCAATACAGTTGTTTTGTTAATATAATTCAGTGAAGCGTCGAGGGACGGATTATTTTGTTCCGCGGGCCGTAGTTTTCCGACCCCTGCTGTGAGGCATACTGAATATAACCCGGTACGTTATGGCTTGGCGCAAGGTATGCACGACGCCTCCAAGATCAATACGAGGTATTTGGTTATCAATATCACATTAGGGATATTAAATTTATTTGTATCAATAATAGGTTTAAAAACCCATTAAATGTTGAAATATCAACGCATAATTATAATGTTAATGAATGCAAGATGTTAAATCAGTCATTTAGCTCTATTCTGTCACAGGTTATGTCAGGACGCCTTGCATTAGGAAACATTTTAATTGTGCTTTGGGAATTTTAACAGGTTATTATTTATATAAATAACTTTAATGTAGAATTGATGATAAAATTGCAGGAATTGATCTCCGACGAGAAGTACAGAAAATGTATGGTAACGCTGGCGTACTGTTAGTATATACTTTACTATATAGAAGGGTAACGTATACGAAGGGTAAGATATAGACATATCCATCAATTGCAAGGTCAGAGATGAATATTTCAACAAACAACTCAGAACCAAAGCCAGGAAACCTAGAACTAAATGACGAAAATTTGTCAATTTGGTCGTTGAGAATTTCGATCGCGGTGCTCTACTTTGCAGCTACTACCTACATTTTGATAATGCTGATCATTGATATGGTCGTGAATGGAGTCGGAATTAACAGGAACGAAAGTATCGGGAAAAAATTTAAGGCATGGATAAAAGTATCACGATTAATTTTGGCCATTCTCTGCAATCTCAGGTCCATAACTGGTTTGATGCAGCATATAGTCGACCTTTACTACCCGGAATACTGTCTGCTGTACAAGGTCATTACAATCACCTTAGGCAGTTGTCTACTTTTTATCAGCTATTTTACGGTGTGGCTCAGACATAGAATAATCTATAGCATTCCTGCAATCAAACATTTAACCAATTTAATAACACGCATTGTGAGCATATTGGTAATCGTCTTAATTGCGATGAGTCTATTTGGAAATTGTTTGGTTTCCGTTATTAATGTTGAATACAGGGCCACTAAAAATGGATGCCAAATGGTGAGATCAAAGGTACCAATTCAAATTCCATTCCTCATCTTTAACGTTTCGTCTGTAGTAACGCAAGTCATGATGCTTGGATTGTTCATTTATCCTCTGCGATGTCATCAAAGAGATATGGGTGGCAACGCCGATAATTTGACTCCTATGTTAAAAAGGGCGTTTTACACGACCTTGGTATGCTGTGTAAGTGATACTGCTGCTCCCCTTGTAATTATCGTTGTCGGAGAGTTTGTTGTAGATGTAAGTATGAACACTACATTCTTCATCAACTTATTAATGATTCTGATTAGCTTTCCGGAGTGGAAAACGACAATCTTTCCCTGCAACAGTTTGTCATCTGAAGGAAACTAAGGTAAAGAAAAATGAATTTCAAGATTTCAACTATTTTTATTCATATTATATGATTGAGAACTCTTCTATAACTATTGTGTAGGATTTTAGATGTTGATTTTCAATTCATTTGACAAAGAGTATTTTTCAAAAAATCCGTCATTAATTTCTGTATTTTTGCCTAGCAGACCATATCGAACAGAAGGGCTTTTGTCAGTTTCCATGATTTTAATCAGTTAATAGATCCCTTAATAGGTTGCGCGCACGGCACCGAGCTTGTTTCGATGAAAATATTTTAAGCACGATGGAATGAAGTGTATGCGTTAGAAATAAATTTGAGGTAATATGTAAACATTATTTATGCTATCGCTTTTCTTGACTCAGTTGAGGTATGATTGTCTGTCTCTGATTTTATCTACAATTTGTTTGGTATTGTATCCAACCTATAAACATATTTGAATAAAATGTCACGTTGTGTATTAGACCTGTTAATCCTTGCGTTTGTAACTGTTTCCTTGTTTATCAATTGTAATTTTTGCTTTGCAAGAACATTTGCATACAAGCATGCATGTACTCTGGGTAAGAATTTTTTCGTTTGCCGTCGCCTACATAACACAGCTTTTCTTTTTTCTACAATAAATCCTTCAGGAGACACACCACACAAGGAGATTGCATTTTACAGTGTGTGTGATTAATTATATTGCAAATAATGATAACTGTTTGCTTACGAGGGTACAGGTATTAGATGTTTGCATACATGAATGTTTATTTTTATCAATATGTTTCAATTTGACCCGAAGTCTGTCACAGTCCTTCGCGACCCCTTATCGATTACAATAAATCTCTGACGTTATTTCTTATGTGTATATTTACATTTTTCCTGATGCCGTTATACACTTTTGCCGCTTTTTCTTGCATTGATTCTTGCATGATATAAATAAAACATCTGTAATGCAAGATTATTCTCTAAAACTTTAATCAAGTTGGTGGATTTCCATATTCCATTTAATTTGCGAATTCCCTGTCGTTAATTGGTCCTTGATCAATTGTTTGAGCGTTTGTTCTGTATGCCAGGGGTCTTATAACTTAATGGAAACGGCGAATAAAACGTGGGCCTGTGGTTTATTATAGATTTATTGGTGGAAATAAAAGTTGTCCATTTATTGTCGCAATTCAAATTTAATTTCAAGTCTTTGGAATATAACCGTGACTAAGCCGTTGAGTGAATACAATTTTTATCCCGTGACTAAAGATCCCTATTGTACATCAAATGTACTTCGCATTGAAAATCAATTCATGTATTTTAATCATGGGTTGGGTATTGAAGTTTATCTTTACAGCATACTAATGATAACTTTTACAATGAACATAACGCCTTTGTTGCAGCTAGCCCAAGAGTAAAAGTATGATACGAAAAAGACAACATAATTCAATATATAATTGACTGCAATCAGTGTCCATCGATGAAAACAAATTGTAATATTCGTATTGGTCCTAGTTGCAGTGCTGTGTAATCTCCAAGTGGAAATGTAATCTAAAATATTACTGCGCATGAATCATTGATTGACTATTCTCCACACATTGAAGTCGAGGACCAAGCATTTTTCAAAATCATTTTGTATTTTTGTAAATTTATCCAACGAAAGTGATTATAGCCGTTACCACGTATTCGAGGCATGAGGTATCAATGCCAGTGTTGCCATGGCACAACAGCTTTGATGCTATTTTAATGAATGACATTTCTGACGATACTTTGAGCCCTTTTCTATTGTACACGTCGTATACGTCACTATTCTTAGAGAGAAAGCTACGTATATGAGAGGGTGACCGTACATTTGAACCCAAGTACATTCGAACCCATGTGTATATCCGCGGGTTCAATCTATATGCAGGTGCTAAAACCCATGGGTTAGGTTAGTATGGGTTCAAATATCCGTAAATCAAAAAAATTTTCTGTAGGTGCAATAGTATGCAGATAAAATCGTCGTGGGTTCAAATGTACGTGGGTTCAAATGTAATGGAACCATATGAGAGTCGTGTACAATATATGAGAGGCCGTAGTATCGCTAGAAATGTCATAAAGATAGATAGTTTATTTTGAAAACTCCATATAACACACAAATTAATTATGGAACATTCTGGATAGCGAGCAAAACCTATAAGGTCAGTCGCGATGATGAGTGCATGAGATGAATATGAGGTATTTCTAATGCGAAAAATTCGATAAAACAAGTTTTCGTTTCTAGTATCTTTTAAAAACATTCTATCATTCTCATTTGGATGCGTACGCACATACTTCCGTAGTGTGCGTATCAGGTTAGAATCAGGCCATAATTTTATTCCGATTTTTCTTATTTTAGTTCTATTACGATTTCGAGGACTGTCTGTGTTAGCCAAGTGAATATACCTCCTGCTGATAGGTTTCAGTTCCTTACAAAATTGATGTAGAGTAGACGAACAGAATTAGTTACTTCCATAATGGTGCACACACTTCTGGAGTAACATCATTTGTATTAATATTACGAACTGGTCCAACGTACGTCGAATATGAAGATGACCTCTCAAAATGAAATTCCGTACACGAGGCAGATCAATTATCTGAGCCCGCATGAGAACTACTTAAAATTATAGCTATCGGTATGTAATGATTTGTGTATTTGCATTCTAGCATTCTCATTTGTATTAATATTGTGAACTGGAACAACGTATTAGAGCTAACTTTCAATGATTGTGACGATTGCTACGAATTCGTCATTGGAATAAATAATGTGGCATGAAAATGCGACGTACGTCAAATTTAAATATGACCTCTCAAAATTAAATGCTGTGCACGCAACAGGTCAATGATCTGCACGCACATAGGAACTACTTAAAATTATAGCTATGTAGGTATGTAATGATTTGTGCAAAGCATTATTTTGAAATTACATTTCATTCGAAAATTGTATACCACTGTAACCGAAGCGATTCCAATATATTGATTGCAGTTAATATTATATCATTTTATTTATTATGATTTTTATTTTCCTTTGTTACTTTCATCTCCGCAAGAACGGTCTTGTTATTTTCATGTAAAATATATCTTCAATGTACCGCATTTTAATGAGAACTTCCACAAAAAAAATAACAACTACATACTCCAATACGAAACACATGATCAAAATGCATTAATTGATTCTCAACGCGAAATAAATTCGATGTTTATATAATATGGATCTTTCGTCGAAGGACAACATTTAGTATTCGCTCAGCAGTAGGTGGACATAATTGCGGTTATATTTCAAAGACCTGAAAATGAATTTTTCAACAAATACTTCTGAAATAGAATCTGGAGGTTTGATGTTAAAAGGAGACAGTTTTGCAATTTGGGTTTCAACAATTTGCCTTTCAGTGGGGTATTTTGTCGCTACGACTTACATTATGGTAATGCTGATAACTGATATGTGCACAGACGGAGTCGAACCGAGCGGCGCTACCGAAAGTGTTGGGAAACAAATGAGAAAATGGATCAAAATATCACGTTTTATATTCGTCGCTATTTGCAACATTCACTACCTGATTGGCTGGCTTGGACAAATGTTGGTCGATTTGTACTACCCGGAATCTTGCTATGTATACAAAAGCTGCAAACTCATGATCGAATCGGGTGCTGCTTGTTTCACCTATTTGACGGTTTGGATTAGACATCGAATAATCCATAGCATTCCCGCCATGAAGCATGCAACTAATCTCGCTACTCGCATCTTGAGTATAGTTGTATTAGTCTTAGCTGTAACTGGCCCCATTCTAAATAGATTGCTCGTGATTCTCAGATGTTCAGCCAAAGTTGTACAAGAAGGATGCTTTTTGGTCGAATTTGATATCCCATTTCAGATACTAATCTTTTCCTTCATCCTCTACGTCAGCATCAAAAGAACATTGGTAAAGCAGCTGACAATTTGACACCTATGCTAAAAAGAGCCTTCTTCACCACTCTGGTATGTTGTGTCAGTGATGCTGCTGCTTCCGTGTTAGTTGTCGTTGCGGGATCATTCATTGCAAAAGTTGCTATGGAAACTACATTTTTCATCAACATTTGGATGATTCTGATCAGCTTTCCAGAGTGGAAAACAACTCTTTTCCCCTTCATGAGTTTCACCCAGGAAGTGAGTTAAGTGGAAATTTCACGTTTGCATATGGAGATGAAGAACAAGAAAGCCTATGGACAGTGTTGACTTGATTTTAATAACTCTTATACAAACATGATATTTTCTATTGTTGACCGTTTTATTTTTCAAATATAATTTTTCAATTATTTTGCACCCAAACTATTTTCTGGGGAAAATTTTATTTCATTACATTGCCCAGCATGGATTTGCCCACATCAGCTGAAATTATTATAGAAACGATGGGGCCTATATAAACATATTACTGATTGTTTTCATGCCCAAGAACGTAATACCCATCAAATATATGAAATATGTATATACCATCAAATCTAATTTGAAGCGACCATTTCAGCCTAATAAAAATTGTGTTGAAGTTCATGCAAACTCCCGCTCCACAACCGAAAATAACAATAACTGACGCAGTTTATACAATCAAATTTTTATTTATCCTCGTCATTTTCTGATCTATGACATTTCACCATTCGATCACAAGTTATCTCTTATCTGTACTTGATTCGTGTAAATAAAGTTTGCCTCAAGAATCTGTTTGTTTGATGCCTAGTGTTATTGCATTGACCTTAGAAGGGCGGTTTCGTCATTCCGTTTTACGATGTACCATGTTTTTTTACGATTTCGGCATTTACTGAACTTTAGGTGTTTTCTTTCTTCCTCAAACTTTGGTTTACATTTAATGGTCGACCAATCTCCCATTCCGGAAGACGCAATAAAAACATGACCAGTAGTAGTTTTCTGCAGCATTTGTGTTCAGAATAATTCCATTGTTGTGTATACATACAGGTATTGTTCCGCTCAACCATTAATGTAGATTGGTTTTCGAGTGGATTACAATACCATTATGGTGTTGTCAAAAACTCGGAGCAAAGGAAAGCTGTGGTGCCCCGAACAACTTTGATTTAGCTTTTCTGTTTCTTTGGATGAACTGCGCCGCATTCAGGCTTGCAAAACACGACTTAGTTTTACCCCTAGGTTTGTTTTTGGATAACTTTCTGCTCTTTTTATAAATCCGAACAGTCAAAATATTTGGTGTTGTCTGATTTCCTGAGTCCCAATCATATCTACATATATTTCGTTCTATGAATTACGTCATTTGCCCAAAACAACGTCATCATGAGTGGGTGTTGGCTCTTTAAACGAGTAGCGTAATTGCCGCAACTGTTTGAAATGCCGTTTCTTGAGGATTTGGCGGTGAGGAATATGTATTTTTTTCCCATTTCAGATACCAATCGTTATATTTGGCGTGTCGTCAATTGTAATGCAAGTTATAATACTGGGACTTTTCCTTCATCCTCTACGTCAGCATCAAAAGAACATTGGCACAGCAGCTGACAATTTGACACCTATGCTAAAAAAAGCTTACTTTGCCGTTTCAGTATGTTGTGTCAGCGATACGGCTGCTTCCATTTCAGTTATATTTGGCATATCGTTTTTTAAAAACTTAGCCATGGAAACTACATATTTTATCAACATTTTCATAATTTTGATTTGCTTGTTATTGTAGCTGTTGATGTTGCGTGTTATGCAAGTCCCACTAATGAAATATGCTGACTTGTGAACAATGTGAATATCTTACTTTTCATATCAATTATTTGCTTTGAATGAAAGCTTCTAATAAAATCTAGGATAGGGTGGTCCAAAGTTGCCGGCTACGGGGGTCACAAATTATTTTTGGATTGTTCGCGGGCCACAATATTGCCAAGAATAAGCAAACAGTTTATTACAAAACAAACACTTTTATCGTGGAAACACGTTTATCAGTATTTGTCATTTATCAACCTAAAACATGCGAAAACCACCAAAAACTTACCAAAACATGCAAAAATATTTACATATTCATATTTGGTGTAAGATTGCGAACGGAAAAAGTGCTTCCACAAATGTAAGTGCTTCCAAACAACGAGGGTAATTACTAGGGCCCGACTGATATATCGCTTATTATATCTCCATATTCGCAGTTTTATCGCTTGCTCAATTGAGAGTGGTTCTGTCGGATACTCTTTTTCTTCACTATTTCTATTTCTTTCTTATCAAAAATCGGCTTTTGACTATGTCTCTCTTATCAAAAACGGATGTGTGGCACGTGATTTCACCATTTGTAAGCGAGTTTGCGAGCGTGGTGGCATGCAAATTGAAGCTTATTTGTGTCAAATAATATACGTTGTTAGATAAGCAGTTCCCAAACTATAGATCGCGGGCCGCAAACTTAAATATATATATATATATATACCAGTTCTAATTTACGTTAGAATTTGCGCGTCGCTGTATCTAACGCTTGAATTGCACAAAGCTATTGCGAATATCTAAACACAATATGCACGCGTTTGTTACGCAGTGACTAATTTTCTGAAATTTTATTTAACATTAAAAACCCAGTAGCAAATATATGGTACAGTACATTTTTTATTTTATGGTGGCGTAAAGGATGATCGAAGTCTACAGCAGGGGAGGCCAAACCCTATGCGACCGCGATCGACTAAAATCTTCAAAATAGCTCTCGATCGACTGATCTGTTATAAAGTCATACAAAAACCGAAAAACGAATGGGTACTGAAAATGCAAATAATAGCACACACGCATAAATAAAATGGTACTCATGTAATATGTGAACCAAGATAGCGCACACCGGAACGTAGTATGTGTACCAGGTTAGGGTTAGGCCACAATGTCAGGTACAAATACTACGGGAGTCACTTGGCTAGTCCCTGAACTTGTAATGGAACTAAAATAAAGAAAATTAGAATAAAATTATGTCTTAAGCCTAACCTGGTACCAGAGATGGATCATGCACATTTACAAAAAGTCATATTTTTAGTAAATAAACCAGTAATGCTTACCGGTTCGCTGATCCCATAAAATTTCGCGAGACGGTTCTATAGAACCGGCTGAATACCACCAACGTTCTTTGTATATTTCTTCTCTTTTCTTCATCTCAGTTAAAAGTTTGTCAACAATTTCGTAATTTGTGGTGATGGGAAATTTATCTCTCACATTTCAATATAAATCTGATTCATCTCCATCATTGCGTACATTATTTCTGATACATTTGCGAGGGATTTCAGCACAATTTCTTTTTCAAATCATAAATCTCTTTTAATCAAAAAACTCCCGACTTCGCTGAACACTAGATCGCTGAAATGGGTGTAGCCATTTTTAATTTTGATAATGTCGTGACTTGAAACTTCGGAGTGAAAACGAATCCCATAGCGCCCAAAGAAATTTTTGCAATATATAAAATAGATAGCCTAGCGACAACATCAATCTTTAACCAGATAGCATTTGGTACAATAGATGAAGAGTTTTATTCAAATTATACAATTCAGATTTGGGCCCGCCTAATTTTTAGTCGTAAGTGTTGAAAATTTCTCAAATAACCTTGCCAAGTATCTATGTATTATCTAAACAGTGAAAAATAAATATCCTCAAACCATAAATGTTATATAACTGCTCGAACTTCGGTGTATATTTTACAATCTCCTCCGATTTTACAAGTCCGATTCTTTGCTCGCCCTGAATTAGAAAACATTGGACATTCTGATGTCACTGCTACCGCTGCGAATAAATTTATCACAATACTGTTGGAGTGAGACAATATTTTAAGCGTTACGCCTGGACCAACGAACGTGAACGCAGTTCCGTAGTTCGCGGAAGTTAAATGCTTTTTCTTTGCATCGTATTTTGCGCATGTACAGTACTGTATTCTTCCTGTAGTAATAAACTTCACATGAGCTGCATGAAACTGGTTCAGGGCAATTTTTGGGGGTATCATATTAAATCAGTGGTTCTCAACCCGTGGTACGCGTACCACTAGTAGTACGCGGGAGCTTTTCAAGTGGTACGCGAGCAGATTTGAATTATTGCAACAATTAACCTTTCTTTCAGTTGGCTAAAATATGCCGGCTACGCTTTATCTTTCTTACTGTATGAATTCGATGAACAGCGCTTATGGATGTTTCCCCAAGCATCAGTATTCTTGTTTATCTCTGTAACTATAACCAATCAGCAAAAAAGTCAATAATGACGCAGGTCGTAACACTTGCAATTTCTGCACCCAGCCGCTCAGACACTTCCGTCGCTAAAACGGATATTCAAGCATGGTTGCAAACATTGCCTCGTTTTTGTAGTTTTGAGTGATATTTGTCAGTTTTCAGTTGTGTTTCAAGAAAATAATTGTGACTTAATTAATTTAATTGTTATTATGTTTTCCGCGGAGCTTTACTTTAGTTGCAGTAATCAAAATTGAATCTCGCAAATGCTGCGATGAATAAGGGTAAACTTAGCTATATCATTACTTGCAAACGGCACATGGTTGATTAATTTTCATTAAAACGATTCTCTTAAACACGTAAACCAGTTTATATGCGCCAACACATCAAAACACTCGCAGAATAAGCATGAAGTTTGCGATAGTAAAGTATAGGGGTAATTTTTAGGCTATTTTGCGCTATCCGTACTTGTCTTAAGAGATCGCCCTCGCCCTCTATTGCCCACCTTAAATGAAGCGATATTGGCATGTTTTGTCCCTTATGCATGTTACGCCGCAGAGGATGTAGTGCTACATTATAAAATACTCCCATAGCACGTTTCTTGTGTCCTTTTCCTCACGCCAAATAAGGAGCTTTGTCGGTGGTATGCGGCCAAAGTAAAAACAGTACAGTGGTACGCGGTCAGTAAAAGGTTGAGAACCACTGTATTAAATTCACTCAATATCAGACACGATCGACTGCTCGAGACTTGACGATCGACCGGTCGATCGCGATCGTCGTGTTGGCAAGCCCTTGACTTTACAAGGAAGATAATAGTAATAATTGTAGTTAATAAAATAGTAATTAAATTTGGGATGCAATTCCTATAATTTTCCTGGACCAATGATCTCCCTATAGCTTTTGATTTTGTTTAACAAAACGCGGTCTTTAAAAAATAAAAACACATGGATGTCGACCAGAGCTCATGTGATGTGCTTGGTACATGTGATAACGAGAACCGATATTAGGATATAGACGACAGAAACAAAAAACGAAAATCTAGAAACATGCCTTGCCCTATATAAAACTCACGACTCGTTGTAACGGGAGGTTGAATACAACAGTCTAAAATAGACAAATCGTCCATATTAGTGCTCGCTATAGCCGTAGTAAATTAAAAGCGATGTTTCGAAAATGTTCATTCAGGCGTGTCTCTCGCGCGTTTGTACAACGAGGTATAGTTTTTTTTTATTAATAGTTTTCTTCATTTTTTATGGTGTAATTTGTTGCTCAAATTTGTGGGAAACATCGGGTTAAGTTTAGTTTATTAAATTCCAAAATATACTGCTCGGGCCACTCGGAACTCTTCTGAGGACCACATATGACCCGCGGGCTACGGGTTGGGGGATCCTGGTGTAGTTACTCGGCCAAGACACAGTCTGGCAATCAATACCATACTTGTCAACACCTAATTAAAGGCCAATCGCCAAATAAAACAACTTTGCTCTGTATATCCGATAACCAATCGGCTATACTGATACAAAATAGCAAACCAACATAATTTCTCGCAGTCTGGCAAAAATGCGATTCGCGTAGCAGCGGGTCAACTACTAATTGGATGTAACATGATCAAAAAAGATATAAAAAGGGAAAATTTCACTTTCAAATCCTATTCACTTGTGTGCGCATATTTGACAGAAAATAGGCGACCCCGAAAAATCTTCACCCAAAGTTTGAGAACGACTGAAATAATGCATTATAGAAGTACATTTTTTTAAGAAAAATAGTAGACCTAGACCCACCGATACTTTATACTTACTTGTTTCAGGGGAGGTTTTTTTTCTTTCGGAATAATAAGAAAATAAGAGATAAATCAAACAGAACACCTGACCTCGACGTAACATTTCCCGCCACATAGGAGGTTTGGGAGAAAGTACCCTGATGCACACTCATTGAACCTCCTAGTGGCGAGTATTTCGTCTTGTCCAGGCAAGTTGGAAAATGAAGAGAAAGAGTCAGAATGACGAAGTAAAAGTTGCCAGAGTAGAGTTGCCAGGTAGGTGCATATGGCGTTTTATTTACTATTTGTTTGGATTGCTGTAGGAAATAGCTATATTACACCTAGTTTTATTAAAATAGTGATCTTATTATCCGAAAAAATACAGTTATTATAGAGCCATGAAGTTGAGGATAGATTGTTTAACTATCCAGAAATATTTTTTTAAATAATATATAAAGGCACACATAAAGGCATATATAAAGGTCTATGCATGGAGATTGTATCCAGAAAGAATCTCCTTCCAATTAGGAACGAGATCATAGATGACTACGTTCCCATACTTTACTTCACGTACCAGTAAATGTTCTTTAAAATCAGAAATCACTGATTTTATTATATTATTTGCGTCGTCCTCCTTCGCATAGCGACCTTTTTTATCGAGAATCTTTTTTGTTTGAATCACGAATACATTGAAAATTATCAGGACCGTGAGCGTATGGTTACCACTGTAAGTGTTGTAGAAGATATCCTCCATACAAACACCTACAGGACTCGAACAGATTATACATTATAGAATTACTCTTGAATATTTTA